TTCAGAAGTGTAACACATATTGAATACATAATTTATTTTGAAACTAATCAGCTTTAATTACTTTTAGGTGAAGGACAAAACCCGAGAGAGAAAGATGTAATAAAACGAAAAGAGTAATTTCTCATGTAGACGCCTGTATCAGTCCATTCTTGCACTTCTATAAAGAAATGCCTGAGTCTGGGTAATTTGTAAAGAAAAGAGGTTTAACTGGCTCATGGTTCTGCAGGCTGTACGGGGAGCACAGCAGCATCAACTTCTGGGGAGGCCTCAGGGAACTTACAATCATGGCAGAAGGCAAAGGGGAAACCAGCACTTCACATGGCTGGAACAGGAGGAAGAGAGGTGGGAGAAGCCACACACTTTTATACAACCAGATCTCAGGAGAACTCACTATCACGACGATAACTCCAAGGGGTCATGGTGTTAAACCATGAGAAATCACCCCCATGATCCAGTCACCTCCCACCAGGCCCCACCGCCAGTACTTGGTGTTACATTTCAACATGAGGTTTGGTAGGGACACAGATCCGACTCATACAACACCACTTTTATTTTTATTGTATATGGCCTACCAATTATTGAACGTGGACCTCCCACTATGAATTCATATATTCACAAACTCAAGAACCTTTTCAGTCTGCTAGGAGGTAGATCTGCCTTTCTTCCTCCTAGAGAGCCTGCTCTCTACTTGTATGTTTGTCTCCATGTAGCCTAAAAGTGGGATTCAAAGGCATGCTATCAATTTGATTCTTCTAGCAAGAGAGAAAAAGTAGCAGCTGCTTCATTTCCTGGAAACTCTTTCTTGAAGCCAGGAACTCTGGGAAATGCTGCAGGTGACCTGTGTAGGGAGTGGGGAGAAACTTTCCCTACCTATCTGTACATCTAGGAGTTAGTATGGCCCGAACAGAAAGGGGGAAGAAAGAAAACAGGCTTTCCCCAACCCCCAGCACTCCCATCCCCCACTCTTAGCTACTAAGCTAGATCCGATTCTTGGTTTCCTTGTTCTGTAAATCACTTAAGAGGGAAGAAGGAAAGTGCAGTGGGCAATTTTGTTCTGCATTCAGCAGTGGCAGCACTAAGCAAACACTGAGCATACTAGAACAGGATGCACACGTATTTTAATAATTTCATTTACAAAAATACCATATGTGCTTTCAACTTACCGTGGAAAATACAGAAAACAAGAAAGAATTGAATCTCTCTGAACCTGTGTTCCTATTTCACATGCTTTTTAGAGGATAAAATGAGACAATGCAAGGAAAGCCATTAGAATAGAACCTAACATGTAATGATTGTTCTACAAATGTTAACTATACAAAGCCACATTACTAAATCATAACAGCAATTAAAATTTGGGTGAATTTCTGTCCAAACTTTTTCTAGGCAATGTTAATTGTGTTACTTTTAATCATAAAAACATTGGACATAGAATTTTTAAACTTTTCAATTGAAGTAGACAGAAGAGTGTAGCTCCATGAATTTTCATAAATTGAACATATCTTGGTAAGCAGCACTCAAGAAATCTTCTCATGCTGCCTTACAGTCACTAATTCCCCCCCTTGCTAGGATAATTGTTTCCTTTCCTTCCAGCAGCATTGTTTTTGTATGTTATCTACATGGAATCAATCATACTTGTTATGCTTACTATTTTGAACCTTGATCTTTCTCAAGTATCATGAGGTACTATTAATGTCCCCTAATGCTACCCATGCACAGACATTCTGCTAAAAACTTTACGAGCATTTTCTTATTTACCTTCACAGCAAATCTATGAGATAAACATTAGCTATTATTCTCAATTTGGAGATTAGGGAACCAAAGCTTAGAGGGAAGAATTAATTTGTCAAAGATTTTATTACTCAAGAACTCTGGGGCCAGAGATGAACTGCATCTGTTTACTCCAGAGTCCATCCCTGTACTGCATTCCTTTACCATTCTTCATAAGCAGTGTGTCCTTAGGCAGCGTAATTTAATGATTAGGGTAACAGCTTGTGCCCTGTAGTATGATTCCCAGTTTAAATCTTATTTTGCTACTTACCAGCTATATTACCATAGGCAAGTTTCAACTTTTCTTTTTTCTGTTTTCCAGTTGTGGAATGAGGATAATAATAACATAAACTTCATAAGATTGTTTAAGAATTAAATATGAATTTTTTTTTTTTTTTTGAGACGGAGTTTCACTCATGTTACCCAGGCTGGAGTGCAATGGCGTAATCTCGGCTCACTGCAACCTCCGCCTCCTGGGTTCAGGCAATTCTCCTGCCTCAACCTCCTGAGTAGCTGGGATTACAGGCATGCACCACCATGCCCAGCTAATTTTTTGTATTTTTAGTAGAGACGGGGTTTCACCATGTTGACCAGGATGGTCTAGATCTCTTGACCTCGTGATCCACCCGCCTCGGCCTCCCAAAGTGCTGGGATTACATGAATATTTATAAAGTACATTGAACAGGACCTGGTAGGCAGTGCCATGTGTTTGTTCAACAAAAGGTTATCACATGTTCTTCAGAAGTACCTTTTATATATTTATTTTGAGATGTTGTTTTGCTCTTGTTGCCCAGGCCGGAGTGCAATGGCATGATTTCAGTTCAGTGCAACTGAGGAAGGAGACCCAGGCATCTAGGATCACCTCCCCCTTGACCTCCACAATGCATTTCAATAGAAGAAAAGGCTGGTGTTGCCTCTTGAATCACCTTCCTATAAAATAGCAGGCACGGTATGGGGGAATCTCTCCAGAAGACATTGCTTTTACTTAAACAAGATCACACCCCCACCCCATTCCTCCATCCAGAGACCAGAACCCTTTCATAGGTGATTTCTAGAGCTGTAAACCCAAGACCCTTTCACATGTAATTCCTAAAACTGTAAACTCAAGACCCTTTCGTATATGATTTCTAAAGCTGTAAACCCAAGACCCTTTCATATGTGATTTCTAAAGCTGTAGAACCAAGACCCTTTTCACTTGTAATTTCTATGGCTGTAAACCTAAGATCCTGTCCCGTGTAATATCTAGAGTGTAAGCCTATATAAAGGCAGAGCTTCTCTTTGTTAGGGGAGCTTGGCCATTTGGACAAAACATAAAGCCTTGCTCCCGGGCCGTAATAATAAAACCCCTTCCTTTCTAGTTTGGTGTCCGAGAGGTCTGTTTCTCGCAGCTGCGCCTGCTTCACAACCTCTACCTCCCAAGTTCAAGCGATTCTCCTGCCTCAGCCTCCCAAGTAGCTGGGATTATAGGCATGTACTACCATGCCTGGCTAATTTTTGTATTTTTAGTAGAGACGGGGTTTCACCATGTTGGTCAGGCTGGTCTCAAACTCCTGACTTCAGGTGATCCACCCACCTTGGCCTCCCAAAGGGCTGGGATTATAGGTGTCAGCCACTGCGCCTGGCCCAGAAGTACCTTTTAAAAGGCTGCATATCACTGACAATACCCAAGATATAGAATCAACCTACATGTCCAACCACAGGTGAATGGATAAGGAAAATGTGATTTATATACAAAATTGAATACTATTCAACCATAAAAAAGAATATTCTGTCATTTGTGATGGCAAGGATGAATCATCTGGAGATCATGTTAAATGAAATAAGCCAGACACAGAAAGACAAACGACACATGATCTCACCAACACATGAAATCTCAACAACAACAATAACAAAAAAACTTGTTATCATAGAAGCAGAGAGGAGAACAGTGGTTACCAGAGACTGGTTAGGGAAAGAAGAAAAGGGAAGGATAGTGAAAGGTTGTTAAATGGGTACAAAATTACAATTATATAGGAAGGAAGGAGAAATTCTGGTGTGCTACTGCACAGTAGGGTGACTATGGTTAACCATAAAATACTGTCTTACAAAATAGCTAGAAGAGAGGATTTTTGAATGTTCTCGCCACAAAGAAATGATAAATGCACAAGGTGATACAGATGCTAACTACCCTGATTGGATCATCATATAACATAGATTTGTATGGAAACATCAAATAGTACTCTTTAAATATGTACCATTACAATGTGTCAATTAAAAATACATAAATTAAATGTTTAAAAAAAAAGGTTGTAAAATGTACCATTGAGTGAATACAACAGAATTTTCATAACTATTCTGGAATCATTGTTTTAGTTTTTTTCAATGTTATAACTTTTTAATGAACATTGTCTAATGAACATTATGTGCATGTTTTTACCAAGCATTTATATGATTTTCTTAGCTACAGCCTGTGCCTTTTGGAAGTTCATTGAATCCATTGAGTTGCTTGGCTCTTACTTCAGAGGAGCCTGGCTAACTGCCACTTCACTGCTGAATGGAAAGAGAATGTTTTTCCTAACGTCCTCATTTCATATCCTGCTCAAGGCAACAGAGGTGGCCCATAAGACAGTATAAACTGAATATGTTAGTCTGATCTGTTTGAGGCCGGTACACCTACTGCCAGAAACTGGAAACACAGGAGAGCAACTTCATTATTGGTGTAAACTGCTCTGTGTTTCATGAGAGCCGGTTGGATATGCGCAGAGAACATTTCCGAAGCTTAATGATCATCTAAGGTTAATGCTGGCCTTCAGCAGTCTCATGATTAACATTTCCAAGCAGGTCATTAATCTCCAGGAAAAGCTTATTATTTTGATTGCTGTTTACTTAATTGAGGTTGTGAATAATTAGTAAAGAATGATTACATGAATTTGAACAAAGGAAAGACCGTTTTTCTAATATGCAGAGCAGCACCTCCTAGTGTGCACAGTTGGTAATTGTGAAAAGTTAAAGTCATTTAGATCGCAGAAATGCAAGGTTTTTATAGATTTGTGGCAGGTTTTGATTAGCACAAGAAAGTGTCTTCTTGTTAAAAAAGGAAAAGTAAACAATTTTCACAACGTGAAAAGCGCAGGTAGCTCTAAAGTAGATGACTTTCTTTAGAAAAAAATAAATTATCATTTTACAGTAACATTGTACAATATGACATTGAAACATTGAAAACTTTTAATAGAAAATCTTTTCTGTTTTTGCAGATCAGAAAGGGCTCTTTGTTTGAAATCATCTCCTTTCCAGCAAAGACGGCTTTAACTAGCATAATATATGCTTCATATGCAGCACTAATTTATTTGGTGAGAAAATTATTAGAATCTAGAAATAAATCTACTTATTTTATGTAATGTTAATGATAATACTATGCAATAGTAAACTGTACAATATTTACTGTTACCATTCACAAACTATAACATTCTTGTTACACAAAACAATTTTATATTAAAAATTTCCTTTTCTGATGAGCCAGGTCAATTCACCAAAAACCAGTTTGCTTAAATAGCTAAACTTATTTTATTTTTATTAAGTTTATTACCACTTGAATATTTTTGATCAAGAAATTTTAGTTTTACTTTTATTTAGCTACAGTTGTTTTGTTTCACCATTGTGCCATGGTTGGCTAAAGTTCAGTATTCTACCATTTGGGGTCTCTCACTCTGGGGAACACAGGTATTAGTGTATTTTGGATTACAAGTGCTGTGCATGACAAAAATATCAAGGATTTTTTAAATTGTAAAGGTTTTATTTTCTATTAGTAGCCACTTAAAAAAAAAAAACTATAACATACAAAATGAAAGTGCACAACTTATTGAATTATCACAAAATCTGTTAATCCTTATACCACCCAGGTCCAGAAAAAAAAAAGAAATTGCCATTATTCCAGAAACCTCTTTCTTGCCTCTCACAATCACTACCCTTTCTTATACAGGATATCACTATTTTGACTTGTAATACTACTGATAATTTGACTCCTTGAATTGCATATAAATGAAATCAGATAGTATGTATTCTTTTGTGTTTGTCTTTGCTCGACACTGTTGTGAGATTATTCATTGCCTGTCGCAGTAGTTTGTTCATTATCATTGCTGTGTAGTATCCAACTGATTGACTGTATCAACATTTATTTATGCATTCTACTGCTGATGGACATTTGGATTACTTCGTTTTGGCTGCTATGAATAAGGTTGCTATAAATATTCCTGTACATGTTTTTTGATGAAACTGCTAGACCATAAGTTATACATGTGCTGATACCCAGTAGACATTGCCAAAGACTTTTCTAAAATGATTTAACAATTAACACAAATCTCAGTAGATTTTATAAAAGTTCCAGTTGCTCTACATCATTACTGACACTTAGTATTGTCAATCTTTTTCATTTTAGCCATTTTCGTGGGTATGTAGTATTATCACATTGTGGTTTTACTTTATATCTCCCTTATTATTAATGAGATTATCTTTGTATACATTAATTGGACATTTGGATATTCTGTTTGTGAATTTCTGTTAAAATCTATTCTTGTTTTTCTATTTAGAGATGTCTTTTTTAAAAAAGATTTTTTTACTTTAAAAAACATAATTCTAGGAGCCTGTCCTTTTAAAATTATATATGGACAAATTTCTTCTCATATCCTGTGTCTTGCCTTTTCATTCTTTTGGCAATGTCTTTTAAAGCAAAAATTCTTAGCCAGGCATGCTGGTATGTGCCTATAATCCCTGATACTCAGGAGATTCATGGGGGAGGCTGAAACAGGAGGATCCCTTGAGCCCAGGAATGAGACCACCCTGGGCATAATAGTGATATCCAGTCTTAAAATAAATAGAAGCTTATCATAATTTTAATGTAATCCAATTTATTAATCTTTTCCTTTATGTTAAGTGATTTTTGTTTCAAAAAGAATCTTGACTTACACCTAACGTCATGAAAAGATTCTCCGTTACATTCTAGAAGCTTTATTATTTTACCTTTCACCTTTAGATTTGTAATCCATCTTGAACTAATGTGAGGTAAGAGTCAAATTTTTCCCCATGAGTATCTAATTAATTCAATCCAATTTATTTTTTCTTTAAAAAAGCCTTTTTCCTATTGTCCTAGAACACTATTTTTGTCATAAATCAAGTATACCTTATATGTAGGTCTGTTTATGGATTCTCTGTTCTATTCAGTTGGTCTATTTGTCTATTCTTGTACCAATTCAGCAGTGTATTAATTACAGGAGATTTATAATATATCTTAATAACTGGGAGAATAAGTACTCTTTCCATAATATATCCTTCTGTTTATTTTGGTCTTCTTTAATTTCTTTTAATTATTTTTATGGGTTTTTTTGTTAGCATTCTTACACATTTTTGTTAATATTTTCATATCATATCAAAACATACAAGAAGTCTCAATTAAGAGCCAAGCAGGTGTGGGGGTGTGTGTGTTAGGTTGACTAGATAGTTCTAAAATGTATAAGGGAGTGTACAGGGTCAAGAATAACCAAATACCCTTGTAAAAAGGTAGAACTTACTTTTAGGTGTATTATTTCAGTTTTTTAAAAATTAATATTTTCAAATATTTTGCCACTGTTTTAAATTTTCAAGAAGTGCTCAATATCTTAAATGTGAATCTCATATAAAATTGGCATTCAACTAAGCTAAGATGCAAATACATTGCAAAAAATGAACAGGATGACATGTCTACGTAGAAATAAAAACTAGACTAAAACAAAAAGAATGCTCATCATCACTGGTCATCAGAGAAATGCAAATCAAAACTACATTGAGATACCACCTCACGCCAGTTAGAATGGCGATCATTAAAAAATCTGGAGACAACAGATGCTGGAGAGGATGTGGAGAAATAGGAACACTTTTACACTGTTGGTGGGAGTGTAAATCAGTTCAACCATTGTGGAAGACAGTGTGGCGATTCCTCAAGGACCTAGAAATAGAAATTCCATTTGACCCAGCAATCCCATTACTGGGTATATATCCAAAGGATTACAAATCGTTCTACTATAAGGACATGTGCACACGAATGTTCATTGCAGCACTGTTTACAATAGCAAAGACCTGGAACCAACCCAAATGCCTATCGACGATAGACTGGATAGGGCAAATGTGGCACATATACACCATGGAATATTATGCAGCCATCAAAAACGATGAGTTTGGGTCCTTTGTAGGGACATGGATGAACCTGGAAACCATCATTCTCAGCAAACTGACAGAAGAGCAGAAGATCAAACACCGCATGTTCTCACTCATAGGTGGGTGTTGAACAATGAGAACACATGGACACAGGGAGGGGAGCACTACACACTGGGGTCAGTTGGGGGGAAATAGGGGAGGGACAGTGGGGGGTGGGAAGCTGGGGAGAGATAGCAAGGGAAGAAATGCCAGATGTAGGTGATGGGGAGGAAGGCAGCAAATCACACTGCCACGTGTGTTCCTATGCAACAATTTTGCATGTTCTTCACATATACCCCAAAACCTAAAATGCAATAAAATAAATGGGAAAAAAAATTAAACTTCAATTTCTCAAACGTTGTTGAAATCATCTCACACAATTTCTCATGCGATGAACTTTAAAAGTAGGTAACAGAAACAAACATTTGGTGATCTGATAATTGGTCATATAGGCATCTAAGGCCTGGGAGAGGTGGGAGCTAAAATTTTGGTTTTGAAAACAATATATATGTTAGACGTTAATGTCCTATGAGTGGAACCATGTCAAGAGAAAAGAGTAGTACGTCAACAGAAATATGAAGAAGAGCAACATTTAGGTGAGCTGAAAAAGAATCCATTTGGGAGACAAGAAAACAATCAGAAAGGCAGAAAAAAAAAATCAGGAGAAATAGTGCCAAGGAAACAGAGACTTAGGATGTTGTGAGTAGTTAAGTGTCAAATACAAGCAGAAGTCAAGTGAAATGATGATTTGAGGTGTCCGTGAGACACAGTAGTAAAGATGTTGAAGTTAACCATCTCAAAAACGATTTCAGTGGCATAACTGGATAAGGAAGACAGAAATAGCAGGTTTCAGAGTGAACAGAAGGTAATAGCATGGAAACAGACTCTGGTTTGACTAAGAAGACAGAGTGTGTAGCAGTTAATGAGCATGTTACAGTTTGCAGGGGAAGAGCCAGTCAAGAGTAAAGAGGCGGAAGAGACAAGGAATAACTGATAGAGAAGATGGTAGGGTGTAGGTTGAAAACAAAGACAGAAGAATATTGACCTTAATCAAGACCATTCATTTTCTGAGACTGGAAAAATGTGGTTAGAATGTACACAGATATAATTTTGTTGGTGAGGGACTAGATAACGTTTCAGGTAGGATAGAACTTTCCAGCCTTTCTCACAACATGGCATTCATAGACAATGATCATATTTGGGATAAATGGATGAGGCTATTTACAGGTAAAGGTCATGACTTTACAGGTTTCTAGTGCTGGGTTTGGATACATAAAAGTGCAAGTCACAAAAGATATCTGAATGACAGTGCCTTAATCAATAAAGACATTTAAATATCTTAATTAGAAATTGGGAGTTAGGCAGTTCCCAGGTTTGTACATTTAGGTCCAAAATGTTATCAAAACCCAGGTTTGAATGTCTGTACTTCCCCCGAATTCTTATTTTAAAATCTAACCCCAAGGTGGTGGTATCAGCAGGTGGGACCTTTGGGAGTGATTAGATAATGAGAGCAGAGTCCTCATGAATGGGGTTAGTGCCCTTAGAAATGAGGCCTGATATGAGGGCATAGCTAGAAGGTACCGTCTATGAAACAGAAAACCAGCGCTCACCAGTCACTGAATCTGCCAGTGCCTTGATCTTGGATTTCCCACTCTCCATAACTGTGAGAAATAAATTTCGACTATTTATAAGCTACTCAGTTCAAACTGTTTTGTTATAGCAGCCCTAAAAGCCTAAGACAACAGGGTCTTTCTCTTTTTTTTTTTCTAAAAACTTGTTTTTAGAAGTCCCTTCTATGATCTAAGCACTGTATTTGAAGACTCATAATTCATGAATTTTCTGTTCTCATTGCTTGCCTTAAACACCATCATCATCATCTTTATCACTAGTAAATTTACAGAGTAAGTTTAATGAATGCAGTCCTTAGTTGTTCTGAATTTTTGAAGTTATTTTTCTTTGTTTTATTTTGACACTCTTCTCCTTAAAGTACTGAGTAGCATTTTTGGAGGGGACAGTGGATCACATATTTGCTGGGAAACCACTGATAGCAGCTTACTAAATTCTTACTGATATGTTGATGTCCTTCCATTCTGCAAGTAAGTATAACCAAAGTCTAGGGGGAAGAAAATTAAAACAAAAATCCTACTTTGAGAAAAAAATGTTTGAGGACAAATCCTATCTCTCAGAAAATGTTTCATTTAATGACATCAAGAGAAGATGTAAAACATCTGATGAATTGGGGGGAAAAGATGTAAAACATATATTTATTGAAGTATACTAGGTTTAAAATTGCTCTCTAGATTGTAGTGTAATATTTAGAACCATCTCCCACTGCTTATTATATTGTGTGCTGGGAGGTCTTGAAAAGAGGTGTTTTTTATTAGATTATGTAGATTAATGACTTTATGTTAAACACTATATTGTATTTATCTGTGGTTAGTAGCTTAAAAAGAAATTTTACTTTTCAAACTCTTTTTATTATATAGGCAGTCTGTGTTAATGCTGTGCTGGAGAAGGTAAAGAATATCTTCCAAGAAGAAGAATCCATAAGGCAAAGCAGAGAAGAAAGTGAAAATTGTAGAAAAGCCTTTTCTGAGCCTGTGCTTTCAGAGCCTATGTTTCCTGAAGGTGAAATCAAAGCAAAACCTTATAGGTCATTGCCGGAGAGGCCAGACATTTCATGTTACCCCAAGCTTCCTGCTAATAAGCAGAGTAACAAGATCCAAGTTTTACATTCTGTGTTTGACCAATCAGCTGAAATGGATGAGCAAATCTGAATGCAGATATCACTGAACAGAACTTAAAAGTTACCTATTTTAATGGCACATTTCATCTGACAAAACTCAGAGACTAGTTTAAATATTCTGAATTGCTCTGCTTTCTTTTAAAAAAGAGAAGGGGACTACAATTAAAATGTCATTTTCTAGTATTTACATGATAGAGTAAATAAAATGAATATTGATGTGGAATATATGTACTGACTACTTTCAATGAACAAGAAAATCCACCCTTTGGTGGGTTAGACTTTACACTGTGGTTTATAATATGAACATATATATATATAATACATTAATGTTTTTAGTATAGACGAGTGTCTAATTCTTTACTTGGGAGGAAAAAAAGCACTATCAAAATAAAAGAATATTATTTTTTATATACAGCCTGCAGAGTTTGAGTCTGCCTATTATTTTATAAATCATGGAAGGATTTGCAATTCATAGATGCCATAAATTTATAAAACAAAGTATTATTTACAAATGTGATGAGAAGATTTCTATATATGAAGACAGGACATGATATGATTTTTTTTATTTCTAGATTTAGAGATACAAATTTAGAATGAAAATTCAAGTGCACATTACTCACTATTGCCAGTGGCTTTTGTGAGAAGATATTTCTGTAATTATTCCTGCAAACCAGGGCTACAGTTTTTGGCTGCAGAAAGTACTTTGATTTCTTCTATACACTTTCCATTCTGGACACGTGTTAAGACCTGACTGAGCATTGAAGGGTTATCACATGATTGAATCCTTCTGGGATGAAGGATTAGAAACCTTCCTGAGAGATAGGACATTTTCTGTACTTAGTGAGTAGCTGCTACCATAAATAGTATCTATACAAAGCCCAAGTCTGGCTCATTGGTTGTCTGAGAAATGAGGACCAAGTGCTACTTATGCTACCCATACTCCAACAGAAAAGGAAGTGTGATAATATGTAGCAAAGGTCCCTGTTAAGCAGAGTCTTTACCATACAGACCTTATTAATTTACTACTTTTATAATAACCAAGGGAAAGAGTCCAGGTGGGCCCCTTAGAATGTTAAGTATTACGTTTAGATTCTTATTTTAATTCCAGTCCACTAAAAATATTACTGTTCTTTGAGACTAGGTTCCAATCTTGACAAACAGTTCTTTTCACTCTGAATTCATCGTCTACTCATTTTAGCTACTTCTTGTCCCAAATAATGGTGATTTTTGCATGAACACCGACCATGCAAAAATTAAAACTATGTGCTGCTGATTTTTATGGTGGATGCTCGGGGCGTTATTTTAAATACATAACAACCAGTATAATAGCACCAGGCAACAGAACAGTACTTACCACAGATAACTGACATGAGAAAACCAGGGTGAACCAACTGAACATCAGCCTTGCCTGGTAACTCCAAGGAATAGAACCCTAGATTTCCTCTCTAAAACATTTATAGGAAACACTTAGTTGTGCATATATTCACAAAGTTCTAAAAAAAATTTGAAAACCTTTATTTGAAAATTTCATATAGGCATTCAAAGTACACTGGCTCATTGAATAGGAGACTTTACATTTCCAATGGCTCAACAGCAGCTGTGTGTGGCTTCCTTATTTCAAGATCTGCCTTGATCATAGAGAAACTAACCCAAGGTTTATTTGGTTTTAATGTCTAGCACAGCGGTTAAGTTTCTTATTTTCAAGTTTGGCAGGTAAACTTAGCTCATTTGTGGAGGCATTTTTTAAGTATAAAGAGTCTGCTATATTATTTGGGAGAATTGTACAGTCCAGATTTGAACATTTCAATGTATTTAAAATTTACCCAAAAATATAAAAATAACAATCAAATAGGAGAGGTAGGGAATCCATAGAGGTATAAATAAAAAAAGAATAGAAGAATGCTAATAACTGTTAGAGCTGAGTGATGGAAGTTCATTATATATTCTGTTTACTTTGTATATATTAAAACTTTTCCAGAATTAAGTCTACTATGTCAAACAGGGATTTTTTCCTATTTTAAAAATTAAATTTTTTAAATTAAAAATTTTTTTCTGACTAAACATTAATTTTTACACATTATTTATTTTGTTTACTACAAATTTATTTTCATCCTTCTTAAACAGAACATCCCAAACCTATAACCTTCAGCTTCTAATTAATCCAGAGGATTAGACAAAATGTATTCTATTGATCCTGATGATAATCCTTACATCATACTAAGTATGTATGCTCTTTAACCTCTCAAATTTATATAATTTTTAAATTGTTCTGCCTACATTGAAAAAAATCATCACCTTTAAAACTAAAGCAGAGTTATTCTAAAAATGTTTTTAAGCATACACAATATTTTTCATTGCTACATATTTTTTGTTCAGGAAGAACTCTTAATTACTTTGAAGTCTCCAGTGGCATAAAAATCAGAGTCACACTTAAAAGGTTCATTAGAAAGAGTCACATAAATATTCCCACTGTCTACTGTCACTGTATGAATCCTTTGCTTTATTCCTTTGGAGCACCACTTGGGTTTTGCTGATGGATCTTTAGGGTTTATAGACTGGTACAGACTTTCTCCTGTTGCCAAAGTAATTTTGTATTTATGCCAGGGGCAAACTATACACGGTCGTCCATCAAAATCCTGGGGAAGAAAATAACTCATTAAAATTCTGACATGTCAAACATTCTTGATACACCATAGACTCTGAACAGAATCTGTTGCAAAAGAACCAGGTTAAAAAACAGGTTAGCTTCTCTTTCTTCCTCCTATTTACAAATTATTCAGCATAAAGCAGACCCTAATCTGAGAAGAGTCATCAAGCTCTTTTACAGTTGATTAGAAAGACAGTTAGAGCTCTATCAGAAGACTGACATGCTCAGGCAACTATACCATGTGACTGCAGCTGTGCTGTTATCTATTAGGTGTTTATGTGCCTCCTTGACAGAAATGGGGCAAGGACGTCAAGTGCTTCTATAGGAATTTTCATTAGCTACTAGAAGAATTGTAAGGTCTAGATATAAATTCTAAAGGAATTACTAAAGGCATGAGTGCATATGATAATAGAAGAGCAATTTGTGATCCAAGGTAGTTAATTCCCAACTTTTTAACTGTCTTGGTGAAGTGCTTCTTAAACTTTAAAAAACATGGGAATCACCTGGATCTTGTTTAAATGCATGCCTCTCTGTTTAAATGCAGTAGCTCTAAGGGGTTGGGGTGACAAGATTCTGAATGTCCAAGAAACTTCCATGTGACACCAAAGTTGCTGGTCTATGGACAACACTCTGGACTGAAACTGGGAAAAATTCTATGAAACTATTATCAGCTTACAAACATAAGTGGGTGCTTTCATTTTCCCCTCTACCACCAAAAGTGCAGGAATACTGATTTGTACTTTCATAAAACTGTCAGCATTCACATTTTCATAATTTAAACACACATATGTGGCCTTGGACAATGGGAAAAACAGAAAAAATAAACACACATATGTTCTTTAACATGAGGACAGGTATGTACACTCATCAAGTGTAGAGAGTGTGGAATGCTAAGTTCAAGCTTGTACTTTGCATCAGTTAGAGAGAGACCAATTTCATAAAGTAAGAAACAAGAAATTAGATGACTAGTTTTGGAATCCAAGGAAGCAAAGAAAATTTCCCCTATTCCTCCTCAGGTAAGACTTCAAAGTGTGGTTTACTTCTTTAAAAATATATTTATACTGCATATTTTTGTTATATTATGAAAGTAATATATACTCTTTGTAAAAGATTCAAATTATGCAGAATGTATAAAGTAAAAAGTGAATATTCTTTTTGATTAAAAAATGGGATCTCATAAGAACTATTCTTATGACTTGCTTTTTTCAGCCATAAATACATATATTCACATCTCTCCATACTCATACAGACCTTCCTCATTAATTTAATGATTGCCTGACACAGTTATTCCATAGCATGGCTGTATCATAATTTAGTTAACCAATTTTCTATTGTTAAAACATTTAGGTTGCCTTCAATTATTCATTATAATAAATAATGCTACAATGAATCATTCCTATAAAAATACTTGAACATCTGTACAATTATGGCCATAGAATATAGAGTATAATTGCTAGGTCAAAGGATATGCATATTTTTCATATTTATCTTATGAATTCCCAGAATATTTGAAATTATATTGAAAGCAGTAAAATATAGCTCAAACCAATTGTAAGTTATTTCTGAATAAAGAATTAGATAAGAATATAAATAGGAAACATCTGAATTTGCTGAAAATAATTTTACATACCTCTATATCTCCCAAATGCAAAGGTCCTCCTGAGTCTGAAAAGGAATTGGATATTACATGTAGTCACTAAAAAAATGAAATTTTTATACTTTTATGGTTTAAAGTTTTACAAATGAAAAATAAAATCTTACGGTAACAGCGAATATCCATGGCATGATATTCTCCCCTGTGGTAGAAAATGACCACTTCTCTATCATGGACAACAGCTGTCATTCTTTCAGATTTTTTAATGTCATCTTCTCTGCCAACACAGACAGAAGAACCTTCCCTCTCTTCAGGATCTTGTGCAGAGCCATCAAGATTCATGCTAGTTGAACATAAAGAAGGAAAGTTGCAAGAAGTATTCACTAATTTGGTTCCAACTTAATAAAGATAGTCTTAAGAGTGAATAGTTTGAACTTTTCAAGATTAATGCAGGCACTTTCTGTAGCTATATAAAACATTTATAAATACTGGGTTATTATTATTTTGAAACAGAGTCTCACTCTGACATCCAGGCTGGGGTGCAGTGGCATGATCTTGGCCCACTGCAACATCCGCACCCGGGTTCAAGGGATTCTCCTGCCTCAGCCTCCCAAGTAGCTAGGATTACAGGGGCCCACCACCATACCTGGCTAATTTTTATATTTTTAGTAAAGACAGGGTTTTGTTGTATTGGCTAGACTAGTCTCAATCTCCTGACCTCAAGTGATCTGCCCACCTCAGCCTCCCAGTACTGGGATTACAGATGTGAGCCACCATGCCTGGTCATGAATACAGGATTATATTAAACAGGTAGTCATTACTTTGGGTTAGAGACTCTTAAAGACTGCCAAAATTAGGAAGGATTCCTCACTCTGAGGACAGAGTTTTGTTAGATTCATTTCAAGGTCAAGAAGAAAATTTCAGAACTTGTAAAACACAGAGATTTAGGTTCCACTATGCCTTTATTTCCTATCAAATTCAACACTAAACAACATTCAGTTATTATCTGCATTGTTTTCAGCCTTCTGCTGATGGCAGGATTCTCTGTCTGAGCAGTCTTCAGCCCCCTGGCTAAGGTGGTCCACTTGGTTTTGCCTAGAGTACACAGCTGGCTCTTACAGGCACAACCAGCTAGCTATTACAGCAAGAAAGGATGGGTATGAATGAAAACCTTTTGTTTTCTTACCTCAGATAAAAACTGGTCACTGAGATGACAGTTGAGCTGAAATGCCAAAAATGCAAATGAACTAGGCTTGACATCAGCTGGGGGAAGAGAATTTCATACTGAAGGAATAGGAAATACAAAAGCCTGAAGGAAGGAAAAGCCCTGGTTAAAGTGTTCCAGATTGGAACACAATGAGCAAGACTGGTAAACAGGCAGGAGCCAGGTTGTACAATGTTGTGTATGGATTTTACTCTAAGAGCAGAGGGAAGCCACTAAAGAGTGTAAAGCAGGAAAGTGTGACTTGATTTCTTTTTGGAAGAATGCCCCAGCTCTGTGGACAATGCATTGTAGTAGAACAACAATGGATGCACAAAAATCAGAAAGCTACTGCAGTGGTCCATGAGAAAGATGGTGGCTTGCCACAGGGGGTTGATTCCACAGGGGAGAAAAAGTAATAGTAACAGTAGCAGTAGTAGCTACAATTATATTGTGTTAACTATGTGCCAGGTACTATTCTAAGATTATGTTTATTTATTAATGTCTTTAATCCCCCATGTTACCAAAAAGGTATTATTATTTTAATTTTACAGTACAGAGAAGGTGGGTTGATGAACTAGAATGAAGATGCTACAGAAAAATAAATAAAGATGACTCCCAGGTTTTAGGTTTGTGCAGCTAGGTGAACTGTAGTGCCAAAGACTGGGAGTATAAAGGCCAAGAAATGACTGGTATTTTCACAGGATGAAAAATCAAGAGCTATATACATTTTGCACATATTGAGTTTAAGGTATCTCAGAGACATCCAAGTAGAGATATCAAGTCAGCAACCAGATATAAGAGACTAGAGTCAAGAATTTCTAGAGAGAAAAGTTTGGGAGTTTTCATGTTATAGAATTCTATGTACTCACTTGGAGAGGAATTGTAGATAAGGAAGAAGGTCTAAGACAATTCCTGAAGCACTTCAACATTTAGAGGTCATATGGAAGAGAGGTTGTAGAGAGGCAAGACCATTAGAGTGTCCAATCTATTCCAAATCAAATGAAATTCATTCACTACTTTCTTCTCTATCCTGTATTCTCCTTGAATTGCAAATAGGTACTAACCTAGAAAAAAAATTCAGGCAATAAGGTCAGATAAATTCCAATGCTGGTCACCTCTGTGTACTAAACAATAAATAATACATGAAGAAAACTCGAGGTTCCTAGGAAACTGTCCTGAAACTTTGATTGTTCTATAAAGAGCTGGGCCTACCCTATACCCTTTTCTTTGTAAATTCACTTACTCCCTATATATTCACCCTCCTAGAAATCAAATACCGATGAGTATCCAAGTAACAGATTATATTCAGAATATAACAATTACTACTCTCTTTTCCCCGTATTTCTAAAGTTTGTCTCCTATTCTACTCTTTAATGTCCTTTTGGCTAAATACAGAAATTAAAAAGTGGGAAAAAATCAAGACTAAGATATATCTCAGTATTATTTTTAGGAACAGGCTTAAGGGCTATAGGTTTAATCCTGTCTTTGAATCAAAATAATAACTCAGGCCAGTGGCTCACACCTGAAATCCCAGCACTTTGGGAGGCCAGGGTGGGAAGATCACTTGCCAGGGATTCAAGACCAGCCTAGGCAACATACTGAGACCCAGCTCTACAAAAAAATGTTTTTAATAAATTAGCCAGGCGGAGTGGTAGTTGCCTGTAGTGTTGGCTACTTGGGAGGCTAAGGCAGGAGGATCACTTGAGCCCAGGAGTTTGAGGCTTCAGTGCGCTATGATCACACCACTACACTCCGGCCTGGACAACAGAGTGAGACCCTGTCTCTAAAAATATTATTTTTAAAAAGAAGTTTGCTATGGAAGGCTCAAGATATTAAACGCACACTTGTCCACAAATATTTAACAAAATTACAAATCAGATGTCAACTCCAAATAAATATTCTAACTGTAGGAAGATACTTCATTGTCCATACCCTCTTCAAATATAGTAATATTATAGTATTTCACAGGAAGTTAAAGAGGATGATAATGTACCTTTCCTTGATCAATAGGAATCTGCATTTTAATTCCACTCAATTTTAGGTTACCATTTTACATAGAAACACATATGTCCAACTTCTTTAAAGAAGGCATTTGGAAGATGGCCGAATGGGAACAGCTCTGGAGGGCAGTTCCCAGCCACAACACCACAGAGGGTGAGTGAACACCACATTTCCAAATGAGTTATTACTGCCCACAGACCAGGAGACTACTAGGCTGAAAAGCGCCATGAGTTTCCAGCATGGCTGTTTCAGCTGGTGCAGGGGGTCTCCACACAAAAACTTACACAAATCTGGGCAGCTGTTTCAACTGGCACCTAGAATGCCTGAGAGACAGAGTCGCCCATTCAACTGTAAAAAAGGGGGCTGAAACAGGGAGCCAGGTGATCTGGCTCGGTGGGTCCCACCCCCACAAAGACCAGCAATCTGAAATGCTCTGGATTAAGAGTTTTGCAGCAAGCACAGCTGGACCCAGGACGGTCTAGCTTTGTTGGGAGAAGGGCATCCGCCACTACCAAGGCAGTCCACCATTACCATGGCAGTCCACCATTACAGAGGCAGTCTGCCATTACTGAAGCAGACTGCCGTTACTGAGGCAGTTCTAACTATACCTCTATAAACAAAATCACAAGAAGTTCACACAGCAGCTGGGCAGAGCCCACGGCAGCTCAGCAATGCCTCTGCTGGCAGACTATGACTAGGCTACCTACTTGCTGGGCAGGGCAGCTCTGAAAAAAGGTAGCAGCACATCAGGAAATTATAAATAAAGGTCCACCTTTCCAGGATAGAGCACCTGGGAAAAAAGGCAGTTATGAATTTGCTGCAGCAGACTTAAATGTACCTGCCCAGTAGCACTGAAGAGAACAACAGAACTCCCAGCTCAGCACTTGAGCTCCTATAAGGGACAGACTGTCTCCTCAAGTAGCTCCCTGACCCCCGTATACCCAGAGTTACCTCATAAAGGAGAGCTCAGGCTGAATCTGGTGGGTATCCTTCTGGGACAACGATAACAGAAGAAGAAACTGGCAGAAACCCTTACTGTTCTGCAGCTGCCCCAGGTGATCCCCAGGCAAGCAGGGTCTGGAGTGGACCTCTAACAGTCCTACAGCAGAGGGGCCTGTTAGGAGGAAAACTAAAAAAACAGAAATAATAACTTCAACAAAAAGGACATCCACTCAGAGACCTCATCTGAAAGGCACCAACTACAAAGACCACAGGTAGATAAATCTACAGAGATGGGAAGAAACCAGCACAAAAAGGCTGCAAATACCCAAAACCAGAATGCCTCTCCTCCTCTAAGGGATCACAACTCCTCACCAGCAAGGGAACAAAGCTGGATCAGAATGAGTCTAATGAATTGACAGAAACAGGATTCAGAAAGTGGGTAATAACAAACTTCTCTGAGCTAAAAGAACATGTTCTAACCCAATGCAAAGAAACCAAGAAACTTGAAAATACGTTTGACGAAATGCTAACGAGAATAAACAGATTAGAGAAGAAAAAAATGACTTAATGGAGCAGAAAAACACAACACGAGAACTTTGCGCAGCATACACAAGGTTCAACAGCTAAAGAAGAAAGGATAGCAGAGATTGAAGATCAACTCAAAGAAATAAAACGAGAAGGCAAGATTAGAGAAAAAAGAGTGAAAAGAAATGAAAAAATCCTCCAAGAAATATGGGACTATGCGAAAAGACCTAATCTTCGTTTGATAGGTGTACCTGAATGTGACTGAGAAAGTGAATCCAAGCTGGAAAACACTCTTCAGGATATTATCCAGGAGAAATTCCCCAACATAGCAAGGCATGCCAATTTTGAAGTCTATGAAATACAAAGAACACCATAAAGATATTCTTCAAGAAGAACAACCCAAGGCACATAATTGTGAGATTCACCAGGGTTGAAATGAAGGAAAATATGCTAAGGGCAGTCAGAGAGAAAGGTCGGGTTACCCACAAAGGGAAGCCCATCAGAATCACAGCAGAAACCCTACAAGCCAGAAGAGAGTGGGGGCCAATATTCAACATCCTTAAAGAAAACAACTTTCAACCTAGAATTTCACATTCAGCCAAACTAAGCTTCATAAGGGAAGGAGAAATAAAATCCTTTATGAACAAGCAATTGCTGAGAGATTTTGTCATCACCAGGCCTGCCTTACAACAGCTCCTGAAAGAAACACTAACAAAGAAAGTAACAACCAGTACCAGCCACTCCAAAAACATGCCAAATGGTAAAAAGCATCAACACAATGAAGAAACTGTGTCAACTAATGGGCAAAACAACCAGCTAGCATCAAAATGGCAGGATCAAATTCACACATAACAATATTAACCTTAAATGTAAATGGGCTAAATGCCCCAATCAAAAGACACAGACTGGCAAATTGGATAAAAAGTCAAAAACCGTCCGTGTGCTGTATCCAGGAAACCTATCTCATATGCAAGGACACACAAAGGCTCAAAACAAAGGGATGGAGGAAGATTTACCAAACAAATGGAAAGCAAAAAAAAAAAAAGCAGGAGTTGCAATCCTAATCTCTGATAAAATAGACTTTAAACCAACAAAGAGACAAAGAAGGGCATTACATAATGGTAAAAGGATCAATGCAACAAGAAGAGCTAATGATCCTCAATATATACACACCCAATACAGGAGCACCCAGATACAGAAAACAAGTTCTTAATGACCTACAAAGAGACTTAGACTCCCACATAATAATATGGGGAATAGTGGGAGACTTTAACACTCCACTGTTAATATCAGATCAACGAGACAGAAAATTAACAAGAATATCCAGGACTTGAACTCAGGTATGGACCAAGCAAACCTAATAGACATATACAGAGCTCTCCACCTCAAATCCACAGAATATGCATTCTTCTCAGCACCACATCACACCTACTCTAAAATTGATCACATAATTGGAAGTAAATCACTCCTCAACAAATGCAAAAGAATGGAATTCATAACTAACAGTCTCTCAGACCACAGGGCAATCAAATTAGAACTCAGGATTAAGAAACTAACTCAGAACTGCACAACTTCATGGAAACTGAACAACTGGCTATTGAATGTTGACTGGATAAACAATAAAATGAAGGCAGAAATAAAGATGTTCTTCGAAACCAAGGAGAAGGAAGACACAACATACCAGAATCTCTGGGACACATTTAAAGCTATGTCTAGAGGGAAATATATAGCAATAAATGGCCACATGAGAAGCAAGGAAAGATCTAAAATTGACACTCTATCATCAAAATTGAAAGAGCTAGAGGAGCAAGTTAAAAAAAAAACTCAAAAGCTAGCAGAAGACAAGAAATAACTAAGATCAGAGCAGAACTGAAGGAGATACAGACAGAAAAAAAACCTTCAAAAAATTAATAAATCCAGGAGCTGGTTTTTTAAAAATATCAACAAAATAGACTGCTAGCCAGATTAATAAAAAAGAAAAGAGAGAAGAAACAAATAGATGCAATAAAAAACAATAAAGGGGATATCACCACTGATTACACAGAAATACAAACTACCATCAGAGATTACTATCAATAGCTCTATGCACACAAACAAGTAAACCTGGAAGAAACAGATAAATTCCTGGACACTTGCACCCTCCCAAGCCTAAACCAGGAAGAAGTCGAAACCCTGAATAGACCAATAACAAGGGCTGAAGTTGAGGCAGCGATTAATAGCCTATCAACCAAAAAAAGCCCAGGTCCAGATGGATTCACAGTCGAATTCTACCAGACATACAAACAGGAGTTGGTACCACTCCTTCTGAAACTATTCTAAACAATCCAAAAAGAGGGAATCCTTCCCAAATCACTTTATGAGACCAACATCATCCTGATACCAAAACTAGGCAGAGACTCAAGAAAAGAAAACTTCAGGCCACTACCCATGGTGAACATAGATACAAAAAATCTTCAATAAAATACTGGCAAACCAATTGCAGCAGCGCATCAAAAAGCTTATCCATCACGATCAAGTAGGCCTCATCCCGGGGATGCAAGGCTGATTCAACATACGCAAGTCTATAAACATAATCCACCACATAAACAGAACCAAACACAAAAACCACATGATTATCGAAATAGATGCAGAGAAGGCCTTCCACAAAATTCAACAGCCTTTTATGCTAAAAGCTCTCAATAAACCAGGTATCGATGGAATGTATCTCAAAATAATAAAAGCTATTTACGACAAACCCACAGCCAATATCATACTGAATGGGCAAAAACTGGAAGAATTCTCTTTGAAA